CCACCCCCCTCCACCCTCCCCCGCAACAAAACATTCAAGAACAACCAAACGTGTCCTCTCCCGTGCTACAACAAACTACCAGTGGCCTCCTTTTTGTCTACCGGGTTAAAATCGTCCCTTGTCTACCGAACGAAGTCCTACCATGTCCACCGAGCGAAGTCACCCGCACGGCCTGTCTGCTGCCTGCTCCTGCGTGTGTTTCGCATTGCACACCTATACAAAAAAAAAAACGTCACCTCACACCTCTAAAAACGCCACCGCTTTCAAGCGCTGGGGCCTGGCCTCGGCCTCCTTGCCCAGCAGGTCGTGCAGTCTCGCCCCCCTCGTCATGATCTCCGTCGCCAGCGCTCGCACCTCCTTAATGTTGCCGAGCTGCGGATGGACGGCGGTACGCAGATCATTGGAACGGACACGAGATTGTAAGGACAGGCGAGTGTAGGTACAGCGTGAAATTCTACAGGACCAAATGACCTTTTTATGTACTCCTTTGCGTGCGACAGACGGGCCAATATTTCNGGGGGGGGGGGGGGGGGGGGGGGGGGGGGGGGGGGGGGGGGGGGGGGGGGGGGGGGGGGGGGGGGGAGGTGCAGGACCGGGGGGCGGGGTCAGGTGCCTTCGAGGGTGAGGAGCGGACACGGACACACCGTGGCCAGTGAGCGGGGACACTGTGTCTCTCCCGTGTTGACGATCCCAAAGAATACTAGTAAAAAGTTACCGCACACGCGGGGGACGGGGAACGACAGGCGAAGAGTTGCAGGTGGAGTAGACGTGGCCGTGGGGCTCTCAGAGAGCAACAGGCGAACTCGTGTCTGGGGTGTGTGTGGACTGTACCAGATATTCGTGGGTGCGTGCGTGCGTGCGTGCGTGCGTGCGGGGTAGGCCCAATTCAATGACACGAGCATGGCGTCGCCTACTTGTCGCTTGCCGTAGGTGGCATGACGAAATACACTTTTGGACCAGTGTTCAAAGCTCGACTACTCCACGACGAAGAGGATGAATATAATATGAAACGATTCGTTTTCGGAAAGCTCTCAACCAGACGGCTCGAACGCCGCCATTTTCGGCACCGCGCCACTCTTTCTGTTGAGGAGAAGAAGAAAATCGAGCTTTGAAAATAGGTCCAGCAGGGAGTGTGATATCTTGTGTCACGCGCGGTACTTCCAACACAAACGTGGCCGAACATCAACCACACAACTTTGGCCGTGCCTGAGAGATCTGCTGCCGCCAGTCACACCACACCGGCGGCGTAGGAACATAGTCTAACGTTCTAAGCTCATGAACCAGCACACTACACGGGGAAACGCAGGTCTCCCTGCTTTTCTACCTCCACAATGATCGGGAACTAACCCCGCTAAGATGTTCTCCACTAGTTGTAGCCGCACGAGGCACCAACAGCAAACTATAGCCTGGTCTCTTCAAACCAACATTGTTGTTGCCGGTGCTCCTTTCGCTGCGGCAAAGCCCGTTCTCGCCTGCGAAGTGAGCGGGGCTTCAGCTTCATCGTCCGCGAACGTCGAAGAGACAGCGCCGCCGCCTCCTCCTCCGCCGCCGGTGTCGTCCTGCTCCACCCGACTGGCACTGTACAGCAGAGTCGCGAGCTTCAACAGTTCCTGAGAGGGCAACAGGCGACAGAGAGGGAGAATCGGTTGATGTCGGCGAAACAACCACATGTCAGGATGGGAGTATCGACTGGGGCGGCGAGGTTGAAGGTGGAGGGGGGGAGGGGGCGCCGTGCGTCGGTCATCTGTCGTTGCCCCACCTGGGAGATAAACCACTATTATAGCAGAGAAAGCAGCAGCGGGGTCGTGTTTGCACCGGATCATTCAAAGGTGCGCACATGAACAAGATTTCAAACTTGGAATTCGTGCATGGAAAAGCACGGCACCGGAGAGCCTCTCGTGGAAAATGAGGATCTCCAAGTCCCGCAGGCAGCAGGAGATGCAAGCCGCTCTTAAAGACTCATGCGGCATTGGCGGCGAAACTCCAGGCGAACAACACCCGAGCAACCAGGACAACACTTGACCCCGATCGCGTTTCGACGCGAGCGAGAATTCCTGGCAAAAGCTCAAATTCGACTAGTTTCATCACTCAGCGAACGAAATCTTCTTCAACTTTCGACGAAGTTTCTTTTTTTTNTTTCGACGAAGTTTTTTTTTTTTTTTTTTTTTGTCGCACCTTGACCGCGTGCCCATCGGCGGCGTAGAGCCTCTTGGCGTTGAGCTTGATGTGGGCCTTGTTCAGCATCGCCTTAGGTGCGGATGTTGTGGGAGGGGACAGCAGACAAGCAAGCGCAACAAGGGAGAACCGATGCGGAAAGAGGTATATACGCGCGTTGAGTTTCGGCGGTGACCGTATGCAAGGCGGGTGTGAGATTGGCTGGCATTGACGAAATAGTCAAGTTGTTCTACACATTGAATTTCAGCGGCGGCCCCAAACAAAGGCCATCATCAGCTGCCCCCATCACCGCCATACTTGCCCCCCCC